GTCACTATTTTAAATTTATTAAAAACAACTCATAAATTATTCACATAGGTACTAAAAAGAAAAACAAGGAGGCTAGAGTATTGCAGATTTCTTAATAGATAAGTTTTTTTACTTGAATTCCATCCCAGACACTTATTGGTTATATAATCTTTTTTTTTTTTTTTTTTTGACAGGCAGTGTGGACAGTGAGAGAGAGAGATAGAGAGAAAGTTCTTCTTTTGTCATTGGTTCACCCTCCAATGGCTGCCACAGCCAGTGCACTGTGGCCGGCGCACCGAGCTGATCCGATGGCAGGAGTCAGGTACTTATCCTGGTCTCCCATGGGGTGCAGGGCCCAAAGACTTGGGCCATCCTCCACTGCATTCCCGGGCCACAGCAGAGAGCTGGCCTGGAAGAGGGGCAACCAGGACAGAATCCGGCGCCCCAACAGGGACTAGAACCCAGGGTGCCGGCGCCGCAAGGTGGAGGATTAGCCTAGTGAGCCGCGGCACTGGCCAGTTATATAATCTTATACTATGTTCCTGTCCTGTACTCATTATATGGCACATGGAATTTTTAAAAATTATTATTTCACAAACCTATTATGAATAATTACAATGACTAGTATATATATATAAGGAGGATGACAGCATTTACAGTTTTATCTCAAGCAATTAGAAATATTCCGAATTTGTATATATTTATCATTTTGACAAGAGACCTTTTGCAGATACCTACAATAAAAACTGAGTGGTGTCTGTGAAAAAGGAAGTGGCATAGGTCAGGATATGTAGTCAGATGATTCATCCCAATCCTTTGTTGATTGGTCATGACACCCTGGGCAAACCAATTCTTTTTTTAAAACTCCACTTAATTAAAAAATGTAGATATTTGTCCATCTCACTGAATTATTGTGAGGACATCATTAAACAATACATTTATAAATCGTTCTAACATTATGTAGGCTATATATATTTATATATATAAAGCAATATTGCAGCCATAGTTCAGCAGGGATCATGTCTATAATCTTTCTTTATAACCGTATGTTTCTTTTTGTTCATTATGAATTATTCCTTGTATGCTCACATCTTTTGAGCCAAGTCTTAGTTTCCCAGCACTTTTAGCCATAGGATCACTAATGCATTACAATGTCCTCATGACCTATGAAGAAACAGCCCTTCAGGGATGGTGTCATTGAAAAAGGTTAAAAGAGCAAAAACAAAAATTCAAAACACACCTAACTATGTATTATCTGTGTGAGAAGTTTGTATCAAACCCAATATGTCTCTTTTTGATCTACCATGTATCTGTCAGTGCCTACTCTAATTATCTAATTACTGTTAACCAATTAAATAATTAAATAACAAGGTTATCTAGGCCCAAGAATCTAGTGATCTCTTCATGTGCTTAGGATGCTGTAACATCTTTGTTTCTTTTTATCTGCTGTCTGTGGATAATACAAGATGCAGGAAATGCTTTGGAATTTCATTTTAGCTCAGCACAAAGCTCTTTAATAGAATATGCTTGCTCTGGTAATGTGCTCATTGGCCAGGTATCCAGCAGCTTGTGTCAGTCCTCTTAGTTGTATTAGCTACCTGTAAATGCAGCTCCCTGCAAGATGAAATGACCTGGGACCAATTAATTGAAAATGAAAAAAAAAAAAAAGTAGAAAATGCCGGTGGGAGTGATTAACAAAACTAGCTATGCATCAGTTGCAGATGGCCAGAGACACTGCTTGCCAAATAGAGTTGGCTACACACAAAAGAGAACATATTGTTCAAGCAGCAGGACTTGTGAAGGATGTAGAAATTTCAACAAAATGGGCATGAACAGTTACAATATTGTCCAAATGCAACACAGGCAAAATATTCACTTGTTTTGTTGTTGTTTTATCTACCTATCTATGCATCCATCCACACATCCATTCATCCACCTTCTATCTAAATATTTCTTTGTCATCTGTCTCTAGGACTCTCTCTCTCTCTCTCACACACACACACACACATACACACACACATACCCACTCACACACACAAAGACATGTGGCCAGGTACATTAAATCTCCTATATAATTACCCAAAGTCACTATGCTTATAGTCCTGTAGTTCTCTTGGCTACTTATTACCCTAGAAAGTGATTCACTTCAGATTTATTGTTAAATTTTATGTGCATTTTTAATTGAATGAGAATTTTCCTTATTATAGATACATGATTAAAAAGTTAAGTTTCCAGCTTGTTCTCATTATGAACTATCGTCTTTGTCAATAATAAAGTTCTTTGTGTATTCAAAGACAAATCACTATATTACCTGAGAAAGCTATTTTCTGTATTTTAAGTAATTTTCTCCCTGATTGATAGGATATGGAACAATCCATCTCCGACTTTCATATATTAAGTTGTAGATTAAGGAGTGCAGAATTGCCCTTGATAGAAATTCTGGATTCTTAGGGCTTTTATAAGATTATCAGTAAGTCAGGATAATGATTTCCCACTTGGTTTTACATACATAAATTTATTGAAGGCTTTTTGACAGTTCTCTTTTTCTTTTATGTATACTCATGGGAGAAATTGTTGAATACTCTAGTGACCGCACTGAATTTGTACTTGAATATTCAATTTATTGATAATCTTTAAGAAGTGAGAAAAACTGGAATCAGTGTTGTGGCAAAGCCTTAGAGGCACTGCCTGCAACACCAGCATTCCATTCTGATTCAGCTTCTTGTTCATGACCTGGGAAAACCAGCAGAAGGTGGCCTCTGATGCTCATGTATAAGACCTTGATGAAGTTATTGGCTTCCACAAGGCCCAGTCGTGGCCGTTGTAGCCATCTGAGGTGTAATCCAGCAGATGTAAGCTCTCTCTGTCTCTCCCTCTGCCACTCAGTAACTCTGCCTTTGAAATCTTCAAAAAACAAAGAAAAAGTTAAGAAAACTGAGGAAGGCTAGATTGGAGGTACATTTTTGAAAAGAAAATCGAACAACCATATACTATTATTTTTACCACTTGAAACCTGACTACAACTCCCCAAGGCTATTTGCTAATAAGATCTCAGCTACAAGATTCTCTTGTTCATAACAGCTGCCAAATAGCTTCTATTATTCAGTGATCTTGCCATGATAAACCAGTGTCTGTTAATAAATTATCGTGTTCCAAAATAATTGTTATTAGGATGGCCAGGGTTACTGTAGTGACTTTAAATTTGAAAATAGCAAGGGAATATATTTCTCATCTTGGCTGGGTTATACTTTCTGAAACTTACACAAATGATATCAAAAGGCAGTTTATATAATTGCAAAATGATTTTCTTGGATAAATCATTTAACCATCTAGCGCTTAACCTTTTCAATCTGATGCCTGGAACACTGACTAGCTATGGCTACTTGAGAGGAGCATAAAGAAAGACCTTATAGAGTGTTCATAGTTGTCATTTGTAGCACATTTTTCACAACAGTATCACAAAAATCACTATAAAATTTAACTTAAAAGGTCAAGTATTCTGGCACAGCAGGTTAGGCTGCTGCCTACAATGCTGGCTTTACGCGTGGGCGTTGATTTAAGGCTGAGCTGCTCCACTTCTCATCCAGCTACCTGTTAATGTTCCTGGGAAAGCAGCAGAATATGGCCTGAGGGCTTGGGCCCCTGCCACTCACGTGGGATGCTTGGATGGAACTCCAGGCTCTGGTCGTTGCCCTGGCTTAGCCACAACCATTGCAGCCTTTGGGAAGCAAATCAGCAGATAGAAGATCTCTCTATCTTTCCCTCTCTCTCTGCAGCTCTGCCTTTCAAATAAATAAATATTTTTAAAGAAAAATGAACTTAGAATGAACAAATATGCATGCATATTAGACTAACAAGTAGGATTTCAATTTACATCCTGATTCCAGAACACATTGCAAGTGAATGTAATTCTCCCAAAACCTCTAAAGAATCTCTGTACTCCTTCACCAGGATATGTCTGCAATGCCTGAACCTGGGAGAAATGAAACATATTAATCTTGTGCTAAATTGAAGGACACTATAATACACAATACACATGTAAAAATTGAACTTTGTTATGCCTAAGTTGTTAGAACTGTTTTAAGCCCCCATACTATTAAGCTGGTGGAATAACTAATTTCAAACTTTTTTCCAGGATTTTATAAACAACAAGCTTGTGTCCTCTTTCTGGAGAACTAAATCATTTAAAGGAGTTGGTGAGAATTTCATAGTCCTACATCATCTACGGATATATTTTAGCCATTACTTTATTGTAACATTTGCTGTCCAGAGGCTGTTTTCCTAGGACCCTGGAGAGATCAGAATCTTTGTGAAAGTGAAAGTACTTTATAGCCAATCTGTGAAGCACTCCTGTGTTCTGAGTATTTTGTAGTTTTCTGCATGATTTTGTTGCCTCAGTACATTGATAAAACTGATAGCACTTGCTCGTCCTCTCTCACACCGTCAAGTAAAAATTAGGGTTAAATGGATATTTGTTAGATTTTTCCTATAACTTTTGGTATTTATAAATACACTTGCTATAACCATTCTTGTACAAGTTTCATGTGGCCATTTTTTTTTCTTTGAACAGTAAATGCATAAGAGTAAACTTATGGGAGTCCTATATTGTACTTTAAACTTTATATCTGAGTCAGGAATTTGATGCATCAGTTAAGTCTTCTTGGGACACCTGCATCCCACATCACAGCGCCTGGGTGGAGTCCAGATCCACAGCTTCCAATCCTGCTTCCTGCCTTTTTTTTTTTTTTTCCGTTTCACAACCGGCTTTAAATACTTGTCAGGGTGCTATAAGAGGGAGCTGGGTTAACAGCACATATGAATGTGCCCTGAGAGAGAATAAGGGCACCCCATCTGTCAGGGCAGCAGGGATGCCCCACCCCGAACCTTGGACCAGGGAGCAGAGCAGAGGCCCTCTCTGGAGGGCCCCAGGGCTAAGTGGGAGCCAGCTCTCCCTTCTAGAGATCACCGGGGAGGGAACTGAGGTGCAGCTCCCACGGCAGTGGTGATAGGCAGTGGCTTCATCAGTGGTGTAACTGATAATCTGGCATAGCCTGGGGCCGGACTGCCCTCCTTAGAGGCCGGCTGGCTGAGGCCTTCCAGGAACGGGGATGCATTGTGGAACTGTTGGGCAGTGTAGCAAGTGAGGAGGATGCCAGCCCCTCAATGAGAGCCAGCAGGATGCCTCCTATCATCGCAGAGCCCACCATGGCCAAAGGGCCACTGCAGGCAGCCAGCACAGCCCCAGTCAATGAGCCAGGGGTTGGAGTTCCAGGGGTCCTCTTTGCCCTGCAGCTGGACCACAGTTGGTGGTGGAGAACAGCCCTCCCCTCCACCACCACTGCAAAGCTACCTCCAATCTGGAGGGCTCGGATCCTCACTGCACGCCCAGGGAGGCGGCAGGTGAAGGCTTCAGGACTTGGATCCCTGCCATGCATGTGGGAGACCAAGATTGAGATCCGTGCTTCAGCCTGGCCTATCTCGGGCTTTTGCAGGCAATTGTGGAATAAGCCAGCAGAATAAGGATCTTTCTCCCTGTCTTTCAATAAATAAAACTTATACTGAACTAGTAAACAGCTTCTACGATCAGTGATTGGAATAGTTGCTCTACAGACAGAAAACTTTGCTCTATATTCATGCCAACAGTTGGTATTTTCAGTCATTAGATTTACCATTTAATATGATCAAGAAACAGTTGACTGCTTGTGTGAGTCTATTTCTAGATTTTCTGTATTATTCCTTTAATCTGTTAATCTTATATTTTATATTATATACACAATCTTGATTATTGTATCCTTAAAATGACTCTTAAATTGAGGTAGGAATGGGCTGTACTTTTCAAAAATTGTTTTGAGTGCTTTAGGCTTTACAATTTTGAAGTACATTTTAAATTCAGATTGTCAGTTTATACAAAGGAACCTGTTGAAATTCTCACTGGGACTGTTTTAAAGCTATAAATTAATTTATAGGGAATTTGCTTCTTAACAGGACTGAAACTTCCAATCCATTGAGAATTTACTTAAGTCTTCTTTAATTCCGGTTATCAGTTTTGTTTCCTTATTTCCACTATACGGTCTGTTACATATTTTGCTAAATTTATCTCTAATACTTCATGTTTCTAAGGCTTTTTAAAATGAAATTACTTATTCAACCTTCCTATTATCTATTTTTATTATTTGCAAATACAATTAATTTTTTGCTGTTAGATTTGTATGCTGTGATCTGATTATTTATTTTAGTAACATTTTGGGTACATTCTACTGATTTCATGTATTCAAAAACATACTACCAACAAATAATTACAGTTTTATTTATTTATGTTCAATCATATAGTTTTTTTGTTTGCTTTGTTGCAATGGCCAGGAACTCTTATGTAATGTGGAATGATGGTAGGTGTAAGTAGAAATCCTGACAATATACTCAATCTTTAGTGGAATGTGTTCGTTAAGAAGATGTTAGCTGCTCAGGGATGATGCTGTGATGCAGCAAGCGAAGTCTGTATCTGCACCATCAGCATCCCATGTGAGTGCCTGTTGAAGTCCCAGCTGTCTATTACAATCCAGTTCCTTGGTAATGCACCTTAGAAAGCAGCAGAAGATGATCCAAATGCTTGGATCCGCACCACGCATGTGAAGGTCTCAGGTGGAGTCTCAGGCTCCTGGCTTTGACCTGGCCCAGTCCTGGCCCTTGAGGCCATTTGTGGAATGAACCAGCAATTGGAAGTTCTCTCTATTTGTCTGCCTCTTTCATTTTGCCTTTCAAATAAATAATCTTTTTGAAAAAAAAAAAAAAAGGTTAGCTACAAAATTTTATTAGATGAAGTTTTTTCAGGTTGCAGTATTTCTGCATTAATCCTGGTTTGCTATCTGTATTTATCAAACATAGTATTGTAAAATATTTTTCCATCTACTAATGTAATTCTATTTGTCCTCTCCCTCATTAACCATGTAATTTCTTCATCCATTATTGTTGAATCCTGGGCTAGGTTCACATTTTTTCCTCTTTTTTGTTGCTTCTAATAATTTTAGACCAGATACATGACATTATCAGGACTACCTTGTTGATTTTCTTTTTTTTAAATTAATTTTTATTTAGGTTATATAAATTTCACATATTTTATATAAACATATTTAGGAACTTAGTGGTAGTTCCCTCTGACAGTCAAGATTATATTAGACTAGTTTGAGTTCTTAAAAGCTTCTTAAGCAATGTGAAATAGTTTTAAAGTACCCCTTACTTTGAGAATTGCATTTATCTGTAATTAAGGTATTTTCCTTTGGATATCTCTACTAGGTGTTTTTTGATCTTCGCCTGATAAGAACACAAATACTTCCAGATCCTAAGAATAAATTTGTAGATTTTTTTTTAAGTTTACACATTATTATTTGACTGCCTTATAGAGTCTCACTCCATCCATCAGTGCACTGACATTCAATCAATGACTTGGAGACCCGTATGCATATTTTGGAGTGCTTTCTTTGTAGCTCTCTGCTTCCCAGTATTCTATACTGCAGAATTGCAGGCATCTCATGTGCCTCAAACTCTGTGGCCTTGTTAAATGTGCAAGTCCACTATGTCTTTAGACTATCCAAGTATTTGGATTTCTTTTCTGTATCATCATTTAGAAAGTGCCAAGAGTCAGAACACCTGAGTAATTATAATGCACACCTTTTGTGTTTGTCTGATATCAGGGTCATAATCCTGCATTGTCATTGCCCAGTGTCTAAAAACACATAAATCAGGCAATTTGACCAGTTATTCAAAAAGGATGTATCTAATGCATCTACTCTTAAGATGGGATTAGAAGTTCAGTGATTTTCTTTTAACAGAAGAAAGTATAAAAATAAATAAAATTATTAGATATATAAAATAAATTTAAAAATTTCAGCAAATAACTTTGGAACAGCTGGATATTGAAACACAAAACACATAGGAATTGACTTCTAAATTCTATCAAATATATACACATGTATGCACACATAGACAATATCTCAAGATGTAAGACAATTATAAATGTGGAGTTTAAACAATATAAAAGGGCTTCAAAAAGTTTGTAGGAAATTAAACTGAAAAATAAATTTATTCTGGTGCAAAACATTTTGAAACCCATGTTTTTGTTTATGTTTTTTCATTTATATTAATATAAAATAACATATTTTATGTATTCCATGTGTTTTTTATAATGTGAATTTTCCAAGAATTTTTAAAGATCCCTTATATGTAATCTAGAATATAAGGAAATATTTCCAAGATTTTGGGGTAGCAAATTGTCTTCCAACTATTACTTGGAATTAAAAATAATAGAAATGATCAATGAATTCAACTTCAGGAAAATTTAAAACATCTGCTTATGAAGGATGTTATTAGAAACTAAAAAGTGGGCTGGCGCTGCGGCTCACTAGGCTGATCCTCCACCTGCAGTGCCAGCACTCTGAGTTCTAGTCCTGGTTGGGGTACTGGTTCTGTCCCGGTTGCTCCTCTTCTAGTCCAGCTCTCTGCCATAGCCTGGGAAGGCAGTGGAGGATGGCCCAAGACCTTGGGCCCTGTCCCTGCATGGGAGACCAGGAGAAAGCACCTGGCTCCTGGCTTCACAGCCATTTGGGGGGTGAACCAACGTAAAAGGAAGACCTTTCTCTCTGTCTCTTTCTCTCTCTCTCTCACTAACTCTGCCTGTACAAAAAAAAAAAAAAAAAAAAAAGAAAAAAAAGAAAGAAAGAAAAAGAAAAAAAAAAAGTATGCTAAAGCCATAGGTTTGAAAAACATGAAAAGGGTTTATAAGCATTTTTGATTGACAAAATAAAACAATACTTGGCCTGTATAAACATGTCAAATGCCCAATGTGTTGCCTCACACTAGAAATACATGAATAAACCATGGACAGTGCTCTTAAGAAATTTGCAATAGAGTGAGAAAACAGAAGTAACTAGGAATGATAAATACATTATTCGTTCTAAATGGGTGAGAATCCAGAGAGGAGAGCAAGTAACACAGCACTGGAAAATAAAATTAAAATTTCTCAATGGAAACGGTGTTTGGAATATATTATGAGTGATAAATAGCAGGCCTTTCATTGAGCAAGTAATATAAGAAAATTGTAGACCAAGGAAAAGGAATAATAGAGGATAGGCGTCAAGATAAAAGGCATGACAACAACCCTGACAACTTCTGTGGAGCTTAATATGGGCCATGTAGATTATGAAGAAGCCAGGTATTAGTTGAAATAGGAAAACAGAAATCAAATCTTTCGACCGAACCAAATAATTTTACTCTCTTCAAGATATAGTGACAGTGCACTCATGAATATGGTAATAGTAATAATGATAATCTCTGTGGTGGCTTCATTAAATGGTTCCTACGTGTCAGCTATTTGCATCCTCCTCATCAACTTTCATTTATAACTGAGAAAACCTTGGCTCAAAGATGGTTAATAATGTGCTCAATAGCTAGTAGCAACTTGGAGAGAAGTAATTTAAACCTCAGCCCTATTTGCAGCTCTTGAGTATAAGCAAATGAATTATTTGGCCTTGCTGATTTTCTTCTTCTATAAGTTGGCAATGATAATAAAATCTAAATCTCAAGGTTATTATGATCAAATAAGTGAATGTAATAGAAAGAGTTTTGTAAATAGCAATACGTGGAATCACTACTAGTGATACAAATAAACAGTACTCTGGGATTCAAGCTATCTAAATAGCAAAGACGATAGTAGATTAATGCAGCCAGGACAATTTTGTGTCTCTCAACTAGTTTATTCATGACAGAGACAATGTTTTTCAGAATAAACTTTCTAGAACATAATTTCCACACATCACTTATAAGGTTAATTACAAGTACAGTATTTATTTAGAAAATATTGAATTGATAACTTTTTAAAGCTTTGGTACTGCTTAGAGCCCTTGGTGTTTATCTTATGAATTTCCAGGACTAATAGAGTCTGAAAGATTTAACAAATTTTTGAAACTCAGAAAATTATCCTTCTTGAAAATTATTGTGGGATTAGGATTTTATGGAACACTCTTTGAGAATGACAACTACAAAACATGATTTTAACTAAGCATCTATGTATGAGATTAAAAACATAAAAAGGATTTTAGAATTCCTCCCTACTATAGCAAAGCTGTGAAATATAATGTTCTTTGACAAATTTTTAGTTGGAGATTTACCTTGTTTTTTTTTTTTTTTAGTAACTAGTTTATAAATAAATATAATTACTAAATTTTTTTACAAAGATTTATTTAGTTATTTGAAAGTCAGAGTTTACAGAGAGAAAGGGAGAGACAGAGAGATCTTCCATCTGGTGGTTCAGATGGCTGGAACAGTTGTCTGGGCCCAGCCAGAGCCAGGAGTCAAGATCTAGGAACTTCTTCAAGTTCTTCCACTTGGGTAGTGAGGGCTGAAGCATTTAGGTCATCTTCCACTGCTTTTCCAGTGCATTAGC